TAATAATTTATTTAAATTTTAATAATTGTCTTTGAAACGATCATGAAAAATCCCTAACTTTCGCCATATTGACAGGTCCAATTTAACCCGAATTTGAAAAAACACCATAAACATGTTTGTTTAAATTTTGAGAGATAAACAAAAATCTACAATATATGAATACAGTATTTGAAAATAAATCTGGAAATGGTGAGGTAAAACGGGGTGTAAACGGCAAATACTACGGAAACAACATTCTTTTAAAGCATGCAAATGAACTCCATCAGATTAAAGCCACGTGTTAATGATTTAGACTGTGATAAGTTGTCATCTAATCAAACATAAATTGCCACACCAGTATAAATCTTATAAGCATAAAATAGTTATACTATGCCCAGTAGTAGCAGAGCGAATCCAGTCATGACTCATAGGAATGAAATAACGTATGAAAAATTCATTTGAATCCTTTTGGTCAAGGAAAAATTGCTGCAGGAGTTCACGTTTCAATAGCAGTACAATAGTATACAAGACTCTGAGAAGGGAACGTGAAATTGGCACCGTTAATAATAGTAGCGGTCAAGTTGGAAATCTGAAACTCTCAAAACGTGATGTTAAGTATCTGGATGTACGTTCTTAACAAGACCAGACGAGTCAAGTACAGACAACTTTCGAGAACAGTAAGAAATATATATTAGTACAAAGTACTTTCAATGGATGTGTAGGTGATTGAAAACTACTGTTGAGGAGAGGTAGCCAAACCGAAAGACTGAAAGTGATTCGGACAACAGTCAGCGACATTAGCAAAGAGGGGCTCAAGTTCGAATTGTTTGGCAACAATTAACGACAGTTTGTTTCACGAGAGAATGACGGTATCGTGGTCAATATACAATATCTACAGTGAAAAAGGATGGAGAATTAATACAAGTTTGGGACTGCATATCAGTCTATGGTGTCAGCAACAGACACCTGCAGAATTGATAGGATCCTGGCCGTTAACAATTAAAGTCAGATTAATGCCATTCTCTTCGGAACACGACTCATTCGGCAGAGGTTTATCTTCAATCATGACAATGATCCCAAGCGTACAGCAAATTTGGTGAAACGATATCTTAACGGTAAAGTGGCCGATGAAACAAATACTCACGCAAAAAAAAAATACATTCTTGGAGCTGTATAAGTTTATTTTTAACACTGAGAAGTTCAAAGGGCAACCAGACAATTTAGCCGAATCAGGACATTTTATTATTTGGAACAATATCCCACAATCGTAAATTCATACACACACACACAAAAATATATTCTTGGAGCTGTATAAGTTTATTTTTAACACTGAAAAGTTCAAAGCGCAGCCAGACAATTTAGCCGAATCAGGACATTTTATTATTTGGAACAATATCCCACAATCGTAAATTCATACATAAAAAAAATATATTCTTGGAGCTGTATAAGTTTATTTTTAACACTGAAAAGTTCAAAGCGCAGCCAGACAATTTAGCCGAATCAGGACATTTTATTATTTGGAACAATATCCCACAATCGTAAATTCATACACACACACAAAAAAAGTACATTTTTGGAGCTGTATAAGTTTATTTTTAACACTGAAAAGTTCAAAGCGCAGCCAGACAATTTAGCCAAATCAGGACATTTTATTATTTGGAACAATATCACACAATCGTAAATTGATACATACACAAAAAAAGTACATTCTTGGAGCTGTATAAGTTTATTTTTAACACTGAGAAGTTCAAAGGGCAGCCAGATAATTTAGCCGAGTCAGGACATTTTATTATTTGGAACAATATCCCACAATCGTAATTTGATACATTGTATGGCAGCAGGACGATGAGGTGTAATGCTCTGTGTAAAGCGAAGACTCACATAGAAAATACCAAAGCATTGTACAATTATTCTATTTTCGTTATTATTTTGAGTGATCATGTTTTTTTACCGTTAATAAATTCACCATCTATTTCCTGCTACTCATTACTTGTGACTTACTCACTTGCATCTCGTCTATATTTCCAAAAAATATTTACATTACTGTATACATCTGAAAATGTATTCTTTTAAAAACAAAACAATGTCAGAACTAATTTGATTTCACATAAGAATGAAACTGTTAAGAGACCAGATATAGGTTTAGTTTAACTTTGAATAACGTCCTGAATGTATCTAAAGATCGTACAGGTATTCCATCTTGATATTAGATAACTTGCTTATTTATAACAAATCATGTCAGCGATGATAATCGGATTTTGAATAAATGAAAGAACTTTTAAAACCTTTGCTAAATCATACATATTAATTCTTTGCCATAGAGGTCATCGACAACACCTGTTAAACCGAGAAAAGAGGACAGTTTGTTCCTTCAAGGCCGACAGTTTCGCCTTCCTGAATGTGTTCCACAGCAAGTATGCAACACTATGATTTTGGCTTTAAACCATGTTCAACAGCTGTGTAGCTGTCCCTTATTCTTCCTGGATCCCTGTTCTGAATCCAGTGATTCCCAGGATGGACATACTGTTAACCTTATGAGTGACGACAAAGGAAAGGTAGATGAATGACCGATTGCTTACTCTATTGTTATTATTTATTATTAACACAGTTTCACACATTTGTTGATATTTTAAACTGGATGCTTACTCTATTGTTATTATTTATTATTAACACAGTTTCACACATTTATTGATATTTTAAACTGGATGCTTACTCTATTGTTAATATTTTATTATTAACACAGTTTCACACATTTATTGATATTTTAAACTGGATGCTTACTCTATTGTTAATATTTTATTATTAACACAGTTTCACACATTTATTGATATTTTAAACTGGATATAGAACAAAATCTCATTTTCTAGATATCTTATCTTGTTTATTACGCCATTCTTTAAATATCTACTATTTTTCTAGTTCATGTGATTAAGTACAATTAAGTACATCGACTTCAAACAACTATCACATTTCGTCTTATTTAAATACCACAACAAATTCCTTTACGAACAGTATTGTAGGTTCATTCTCTACAACAACCGTGAACATTCCACACACACTCTTAACGTCCTAAATCCCATTGGCACAGCGGTAAGTTTGGAGGCTTATAACTCTAAAAACCTTGGCTCGATACCCGTGATGGGCATAGCACATTGTGGAGCTTTGTGCTTAACTACTAAGAAACAAACGTAACGCCCTACTCCAGTAGTTTTACTGTTATTGTGTAACAAAGACGAACAAAGTAGCAGTCTCGTTTGTTAGTTTTAGAGTAGAGCCCGGCATGGCCAGGTGGTTAGGGCGCTCGACTCGTAATCTGCGGGTCGCGGGTTTCGAATCCCCGACATACCTCTGTCCCATCAGTCTCTGAATCGCATTTAGAGCGATAATAGTTCGTTGTTACACAATAACTCATTCGATAGTCCTATTAATGTACGTACTTTGTTCAGCGATGGTTTATCAGTGCTGCAGCTAGGAAATATTTTCGTTGGATCTGGTGAGCTAATAGCTTAATGATTAGTGTTCACTGAATCCAGACTAAGTAATAAGTAATCTCTTTATCATACGTTTTGAAGTAAAACGAAAGTAATCACGTTATCATAAAGGATTGTTGGATACCTGCAATAAGTTATTTTTGTAATTCTTAAAAATAAAAACAAAAAATGTTTGAAGCAAGAAAAAAACTTAGAATTAAAATCTATTGTGCGAAATTTTGGTGGAAGGGGGATACAGATCGGTAACTCCTCTTTTGTTACGTATATGATACTCAGATATACATATTAAATCTCAACGACTTTACTGTTATCCGATCATCATTATTGATTTTCAGCTCTTGTAACGTTACGGTTTTTAAGCCTAAGAGCTCAGTTTTATATAATTTTATATGTGCACAAATACTTTTGGTTTGAACTTGGGAAAAGATAT